ATACAAACATAATTTAATGATTCCCTCTAATTTTTCTCCCCTCTCCTTTTTTTGTATATAGAAACATAATTTAATGATTCTCTCTAATTTCTCTCTCCTCTCCCTTTTTCATATTCCATATTTCACAATTTTCTCCAAATAAAACAAAAAATTACATACAACAACTATTAGGTTGACCATTAAATAAATCAAAATAATACTGTAAATAAACGTAAACTTTTCCTTAATTATATATATATATATATATATATATATATATATATATATATATTTGAAACAATAATTGCAATGTTTCAGGTTCGACACAAAATTAGTTTATTTGTTTTTTATTAATTATTTATGAATAGGCTATCTATCTTAAGTTTTGTTCAAAGATGGTTTTTATTTTTATCATCAGATATATCATGTTAGTCATCATTGGACATAAGCTCATAGGATGTGATGATAAATATGCATTTAGATTTTAACATTTGCAATTTAAATGTAAAAAATACAGAGAATATACTAACGTTAAATTTAGTTTATTGGACAACCATTAGAAAAATGTGATTTTCTTAATTAAATATCCAAGATAAATGCATTGTCAAATCATAAATTTCCGCAAGCAAGGAGTTCCCTCTAATATATCATTCGAGATTTCAGTGCCGATAATTTGCATTGTTTCAGCTCCACATTCATCTTATTGGTATGGAAAGAGCCATCTGTTGGCACTTAAATTAATGGAAAGAGAAGACAATTTCAATGACTTGTACGTATAGAGAGACATATATGTAATAAGTATCACCAACGTTACAAAATTGATATTTGGAAACCTGAAGACATATAAGGAGAACAACAATAATATGACAACATATGTGTACGCTCGGGCTTCCTCGCGCCGGGCTTCTCTTCTGGGCTGCTTCCACGCTGGGAAGCGAGCTGAGGACGGGCGCACGCCTGCTGGCCTGAACTCGGTTTGATCTGCGATTGGGCGCTGGAGCAAAGACTGGGAACAGCGACGCCGGTTACCGTTTTGACGACGTTCACCTGCTCGGCAATCGAGATTCAAAACTCGACATAATTTACGAAAAATATAATATTTTTAAGGATCGGGAATATACAAAAAAAAAACGGGGTTTGACTCGGAAAATGAAACAACAACTCAAGGCCCAACTAACGCCGGATTTTCGAAATAAGTTCAATGCCTTTAAATTCAAACGACGAACTCGACATAGTAAAAAAGCTCGAATTTTCAATTCGGCTTGAAAACATAAAATAAAGGCTCGGTATGTGATAAGAATTCATAATATTATTGCTTCTAAGTGATAAGAATGTCAAATTTTATTACATTTTTTGGGCGAAAATCTAAGCGTATATATTTCATATTTACTATCAAATCTTTTTACCAAAAAATCTGATACGAATTATTGTAAAAATATCTAGTACAATTTTAACTAAAATCAGGTATGTGTATGTGGTTAGATGGTTATATTATCATTTGTTTTCAAAATATTTCTTTTATTAATAAGTCAAAATCATTATATATATGTGGTGATATCATATGGATTTATGGATACGACTTTAATTTTATTAGGATAAGTTCTTTGTACATATACTCTATTTACGGTCAACAACTTGGTTTTGATTAACAAAAAATAGAAGTAATAATAAATGAAGAGGCTTACATATTATATGTAGAATAAATGAATCAAAATATATACAAGTTTGAACCATTTACAATGCAAATAACAAAAGCCGCGTTTGAACCATTAAAAATGTAAATAACAAAAGCCGTTATTTGAATATATTTTTTCCTAAATAATAGGAGATGTAGTTATTGTATGCTATCTAAACAAATATCTTATTGCAAATTTGAGTTTTTTCCCAAAAAGTTCACGGTAAAGCCGTGATTTTTGGGGGAACAATGTAACAGCTTATATGAATTGTATTTTTATTAATGCAGTAGATTTTTTTTTAAAAAAAAAAGTTGTCATTAAAGGAAAACATTAAATGCAGACAGAATATTGACTAAAATTGACCTGTCATTTTTAAAAAAATTGTAAATCTTATTATTATATATATAGATATATAGATAGATAGATTATATATTTTTTTTTGTGGTAATAATTATAGCCCCGATTCAAAACTTTATACATAATAGCATTGCTCAAAATTTGTACAGAAAAAAAAAACCGTTCTCAAATTTCAATGCATTATTTAAAAAAAAAAAA